GGGGGGGGGAGGAGATGAGGGGCTAAAAATAACCCAGTGCCAGGGAGGCAGGTAAGAAAAGTGCAGCCCTGAGACTGGGGCTAGAGGCTAGTCTTTCCCAGTCCCGGTGCTGCACTGGGAACTATATAGAAGCTCAGTTAAATTGGTCTCAGCAGACCTTATCTAAGTTAAACTACCTCTGAGGTACAGTTAACTTACATCAGTTTGGCCATTTTTAGACCAATCTAATCTTCCTGAACTTCTGTACAGTCACCCTAACTCAGGATCTTAGTGTAGGGTCCGCACTTGGGTGAACTGAGTTAGATCAGGTGGCCATTTTTAATGCGATTGATCTAACCTAGCCCAAACTCCATGAATGTCTGCATGTACCATTAGAGAGTGAACATGTGCTTCAGAGATGATTCAACTTCAAACAGAGTTAATGGGTTAATGGAGATTCCCTTTAAATAATTTAAATAATTAAATTAAATTAAATAATTATTTAAATAACTTTAAATAATTTAGCCAAAGTCATGTAAGTGGTCCAGCCACAGCTACAGATAAAATTCAGGTCTTACTGCCACCAACCCTTACCCACAAGACCTTCTTTTTCATGTTTATGTAAATATTAGATATGTACAATTCCTGCTCCTGTTGCAATGCCACCAAAGATCCTGATCAAAGGGCAAGAGGTTAGTACAAAGGACTAATGCTACATATAATAATAAATTATTATAAGTTACAATTCATATTGCATGTAAGCTTATAATATATTTGAATTTAGATTTATATTTAATATTTAGCTTTATAATATGATAAATGATATGATATAATTTACTTTCTGCAGAATTTGCTATTAAATTATATGGTATGTGCTTCTCCACCAATCAGAGGTGAGGGACACAGCCAATGGGATATGCCTGAGAAATTGGCTCTTTGTGCCACAATCAAGCCATGAAACTTGCTTTGTCTTGCTGTGCATTAAGTAGACCCCTATATATGGGGTCTAACTGAAAGCCCAAAGAATTTTCATACTGTTTTGTTTGAAAAGCAAAAAACACAGCTCCAAAGAGCTATGGATGCAAAGAAATACTTGGGGAAGATGTGTGGCAGTTACAGCTGCAACACAGGGAAAATAGGTGTAGCAGAGAGGAAAGAAGGGCAATGAGGCTCAGCCAGGACTACCCAAACTGGACATCTGTTACAGATACAGCTGCATTACAAGGGCAGAAAGACGATCATGAGGCCCTGCTGGCTTTGTTCCAAAAAATATCAGACCAAAACACTGCAGGAAAAATCTGAGAAAGGCAATGGGAACCAAGGGCTTTCCTCCTCTTCCCCAGCCAGGGGAATCTGGGGAAGAAAGAAACTGTTGAGTGAAACCATACAGACACTTAGCTAGTCTCTGATTTTGGCTACCTACCCCTTTTCTACAGTATTCTGGAAAGTTTTGTTCTTCATCCCCCAACAAATTCTATTCATCCTTCCCACTTTAATTAGTTACCCCACCCCCTTTTAATATCATTTTGTGAGGAAGAAAGAGGGTTTAGAAAGCTGAATCTGATAGTAGCATGTTACTAAGCCGGCTCAGATGATCAAATGAGCATGCCCGGTGACAGCAAAGTAGCAAAATCTAATGGGGAGCACTTTCTGATGCTACGCAGATAGGAACACAGAAAAGTAGCTGCAGCTGGGCCCTTTGAGCACTGGCAGCAGCATCTGTATCCAGCTGCTTCCTGCAGTTTTCTTTTTACAGTCTCTGCCTTATACATACAGACTGCCTGTTTGGTCTCACCCCCTCCATTTTTTCCCCTCAGTCTCTTCATCTCTTCTCCCTTTCCTGATCCTCTTAGCCAACTTCTTAATCCCACTCATTTCAGCCTGAAACTCTCTATTGTAATATCTTCCCTCCTTCTCCATTTAGCCCGCCCCCCCAACTAAACACCAACCCCCAAATGTATAAAATGGAGAAATCAACAAAAATGTAGCACTAAGATGCTGTTTACACGTCAGCTCACTGTTCTAAGCTCTACCTGTCTTTTATCTGCCTTTACCATATCTGTTTTGTCTATTTAAATTACAAGAGTTGGACAGACAATTAGTTTGTTTCCATATAGTGCCTAGCTCAGTGTATTCCCTCCATCCCCATCTCAGTCGGGGCTTCTACGTTCTATTTCAATATCATTAATAAGAGTAAAATATTGGGGAAAGAACCTCGAACCCTGAGGAGAGGGGCAGAAAGACACGGTAGCAGAAGCTACTACTGTAGCCACACAGGGAATGAATCCTGTATCAACCGCAAGATCCTTACAAATATCTGTAGAACACAACCCTCATATATACAGTGTACGAAAGGAAAGATTTGGTCCACAAAAAGGTTACTGCAACAAAGTATTCATTAATGGTATACTTGTAATTTTTCAGAACCCTTCACTTGCGAACATTCAAATCCTTAAATAATGAATTAATCACTGGATGGAAACAATGGTTTAAAATTATATAAACAGAAAGGTGTACAAAATGTCAGGGTTGACTGAGTTGGTCTGGCCTTGACCATACATTGCCATGCCCTGTCTGCCCCTGACAAACCATAGAGCACCTCATTCATAAAGAGTACAGCTGCAGCCATGAATGTCACAGCTGGGGTAGTTTTAAAAGAACTATTGCTAGAAGAATAGATTTAAAAAAAAAAATGAAAGGGCCTTGCAGGTATTCACGTTTTAACAAAAGACTTAATGTTAAAGGTCTGATATATATACGCACCATCAAAGTGATTGTGTGTAGTGTTAGCATAAAGTGGATATGGCATAATAAGTCAAAACAATGTGCGTGGCTAGCAGGTAATGCCACTGTCAAGAGGCAGCCTTGTGAAGCACCAACGTAAAAGAGTTTGTCAGCTGTGTAACAGAGTTGACAGTGACCAACTGCAGCTGGGAACAAAATGAAGAGGGGAACTAACTGCTTGCATCTGTTTGCACCAACGGCATCAGGGATCAAGGTCTGAAGGAAGAAAGGGAAAAGCATTCCCATTTCTAACATAAACAGTGGCTGTTCTAGTCAGCAGTAAGTAATGGCAGCAACACAAACCTGGTGAAGGATACTGCCCACACAAAATGACTTTTATGTCTGAGACTGACAATTCAGGGACTCTCCTTTTGTTCTCATTTACTTGCAAATAATGCTTCCCTTGCATGCCTAGCAAACAATATTTACGCAGGACTGGATATATAGCTCTCATTAGACCAAACACTACTACCTAAATTGGGCTATTTGTGACTCTACACCTCAAGTTTCACTCATCCCTGATCTGAAATGCACTAAAAGCACATTATTACTGCTTAAGATGCAAACTACTACATTGAAAAAAATCATTTTTTACCTCCAGTGAAAGAAGTTAAAAATTAACGGTTAGTTAAGACTAAGGTGAATAGTAAACAGAGATTCCTTCTGATCATGTATGGGTTATACACAGTCTGCAATGAGGTTATATTTGCTTGTAGATTAATTACTCCTTTTTCCCTGTCTTAATTTATTTTATTCTTTAAGAAACCAAATGTCCAGTAGCCACTATGTATGTGATAAAGAAACACAATAAAAGTAATTTCTCTCTTCACCAAAAAAAGCATTCCCAGTGATGCATTTTTGAGTCCAGTATACCTTTTCCTAATGAGGTTTCAGCATGCTATAAATAACACTAATGAGACTTTGTCTTGCCTATGTAATATATTTCCTTAATATAGCTTTAGATTTTCTCATGTTGCATGGAAAACTAACAGTCTCAGAAAGAAATGTCCTCCAATAGCACATTAAAACCAAAAGTACAATTAAATATAAATGAATTCAGTAATTTAATTGCACTGTTGTCATTTTTAAAAATTCAGAGGAAAAGTAATGATGTCATTTTTTCTATTGGTAAATAATAAAAGTGCTGAGGACATCAGATAATATTTAAATAAACATTATTGTGGTTATGGGTGATGCAAAGTTACCTTTTATTACTAGGTAAATCTCATGTTTGTTAATGAAAAGAGAGTTTGAAACATCTCTCTCTCAAGCTCAGGGAGAAATCCTGCAAGTATTATGCCAGAAGTCCCATATAAAGAATATAGTAAGGGACTCCCCATTCTCCATTAACCTTGTAATCACATGCTTACATTTTCTGCTTCAGATTGCATGTTCATATAAACAGCAGCAGCATCTTGCAGTAATTTAAATAACATTTGTAGTGAAACCATAACTTATTAATTAGTAGTAAACATTTATAGAACCTTCACGTCTAATATTTGTGGCCAACATTTTTCAGACAGAATTTTTTCTGCTCTATCGACAATATCTTTGTCACCTCATTTTCAAGGGGAAATGACAATTTATTGTGTACTTGATTTTGACTGAACATGTCATTTTATTTTTGCTTTTTTAGATGCAAATTTAATGCTTATTTGGATGTTCTGCTTTACATGTGTTTGAAATTTCCTGTGGAAAAATATTTCCATCAAAAAAAAAAAAACAAAAGAAATATTTATTTGAAATTTCTGGGAGAAAAAAATGTTGTTTTTTCCAAACAGTTTTACATTCTGTGTTATGCCGCTTCTCCCATCACTGAAGGATTACCTTGTTTCATTATAACATAGCATCATTAAATACATGATACAGCTGGTATTTAATATTAATATGCATTCTGTCTCATGTCACATCTCCCATCATCAAAGGATTAGACATGCATATAAACAATATGTATAGACATGCATGATAATTGAATTGAAAGACAGTATTTAATCTGAGGGTAGGATTATGGACCTATCATCAAAATGTCGAAGATCCTGTACCCCTGTTATCCTAAAATAAGTTCCCCAAGAACAATTTTACTTCAAACTATTTAATGAATTTTACCAAGAACTTCAGTGAGAGCAGAGTTAAGCCAACACTGAACTCTCTTATTTAATTATTTTGAGCTAAATTATACCTTGGTCCTCCATGGCAATGCACATCAGAAAGGAGAGTAAGATCCCTCCCATAGGGCTGTGCAGAACCTGTCTGATTGGGCCCAAAGTGTGGACAGGAAAGTAGGGGCTGGGCACATCTACATGAGACACTTTACAGCATGGCAGAGCTAACTATTGCGCAATAAGTATCCATGTTTACACATGCAATTGAAAGTAGCAAATTTACTCGAGATTAGAAACTGCACAGTAGCGCAAGTGTAGACCCCTGCCCAGGAGCAAATGTACTCCCTGTCAGCCAGGCAACAGAGGGAAAGAGATTGCTCCATGCCCCCAGGAGCTGCCTGCTGCTGGTGGTGGAGCCTGCCCTGCATTCCTGCATGTGTAGACATGTGCCTGGGAGAGCTAACTCTCCAGTAGTTTACTCAGGCGTAAACTGTTCCTGGATCTTTTGCACATGTAAATGTGCATGCCATGAATCTAAAATTACTCTCCATTAAGAAAATGGATAGTATTGTAGCTCTACTTCTATACACTGGCTAAAGGCACTGGATAAGCATGCTGAAGTAAACAGAATATATTACACCCGCAAAAAGGTTTAGTCTTTATGATTCATCACGCCATAAATGTGCATGTGTTGGTCAAGGAACTTGGGAAACATCTGCAGCAAATTCTGTGATTGCCTCTAGCTCTTTTTATACACCTCTATCTATTCATTGATGCATAGGCTGTAAGGCTGGAAGAAACCACTCTCATCATCTAGTGTTGTCTCCCAGAAAATACAAGTAATTAATTAATTCCTGTTTGAACAAGAGCACACATTTATTTATTTATTTTTGGGGGTGGGGAAGAGGGGGTTATTTAAAAATTTCCAGTAATGGAGAATCCATCACAGTCCTCAATAGGTTGTTCCAATGGTTAATTCTTTTCAGTGCTAACATACACGCCTTGTTTCTAGTCTGAATTATTTTAAACTTATTTCCATCCAGGGGATCTTGTTATACCTGTGTCAGCAGACTGAAGTTCCCTCTATCAATAAACCTCTATTCCTGATATAGGCATATGCAGACTGTCATGAAGTCTAAAAGTTCTCTTAAAGTAAACTGAAGTCTTGAATATTTCAATATAAGGCTGCCATCCTTTAATCACTCTTGTGGCTCTTCTAAATCTCTAATATATCAAGATAATTCTTAAACTGTGGACAACAGAACTGGACAAATAATTCCAGTACCAGTTGCACCAGTGACAAGTACACAGGTGAAATAATTTCTCTCCTACCTTATATATACATTGTGATAGTTTCTTTTAGCCACAGCATTGCAGAGCATATTCTGCTGATTAACTACCATGACTCCCTACATCATAACCACTGCTTCCCTGGATAGACTCTCTGACTAACCTGTGCTTCAGTTGCTGCTCCTCTTCATAACATAATTAAAAAAGGGAATAGGACTTACCAACCTCTGTTATGCCAGTGCTGCCCAGAAGTCAGTCTACTGTGCAGCAAGGGAATGGATGGCTAGTAGCAGAGGCCAATGTGAAAGGTGCAGCAAAAGGCTAAGACAACAGGTGTGAAAATTACATACATGTAAAGGTGAAAGCATACAAGTATTTAAGAGCAAGGATTGTAGGAATAAAATGATAATTTCAAAGGTCATGCTGAATTAAATACTTCAAATGACAACAAAAGGTTATTAAACTATATAAAACAGAAAAAGGAAAAAGAACGGGGAAAGCTCTGCAGTGAGGATGGGGTAGAGATTAAAGATAACCCAAATGAGTGTTCTGCGTCACTTTTTAAAAGGGGTCAAGAAAGTGAATCTGTAGCAAAGGCAGAATGGCCAAAGGGAATAATGCTGTAGAATGGAAATTACCATGAGAGAGATGGAAGTAAAACGTAAAAGAACTTAATATGAGTAGAGTGGGTTCTCTCCATCCTACTCTGAAATAACTGGTACATAAATCTCCGGTTCCAGTAGCAAATACTGCTAATAAATGTATCATGTTGGGATGGAACTCTAAGAGCAGAAGATGGAAAACACATACCTGTTTTCCAAAAAAAAAAAAAAAAATCCAGGCAATTGCTGACCCATTAGAT